TGAAGAATCATCCATGTTAGATTTATGGTCATTCAATAGTTTAGAAGAAAGAAAATAACTTGATTAATTTGATCTATGCAAAAGAATGAATAAAAGGAAAATAAATCCATTGGGAAAAAGAAATGAGAAAAATAACAATTAAACTCGGGATGTTAGATTTAGAATAATAAGAAAAATCACTTGATATATCCAAGAGAAACTAAGAACTTGATTTTCCATATTCATTTTTCATTTTTACTATTTTTATTTATTTGGATCATAATTATTGAAGTGCTTCTTCCATATATTTTTAACTATAAAAATGCATAAAATATATTTTTTGCATTAAAATGCTAAATAATCATTGATACTTGAGGCTTTCACATTTTTATGCCTCGAGCCATGCTTCACGCCTTGAGACTTGAGGCTTATGCCTCATTCTAAGAAATGATTAAGCCTCACATCAGAGTTATGAAGTTTAACCTTGGAGACAAAATCTGTGTGCCTCACCTCAAGATGTAAGCCTCATGCCTCAAGGTTTAAACCTTTTAAAACAATGGGATGTAGTAAGAAGAGAAAGGGATAGTACAATAATATGTTAGTGATTCAATGAGAGGGAGATAGAGAGGCAAAATCTGTGTGCCTCACATCAAAGTTATGAGGTTTAACCCTAGAGGAAAAATTTGTGTGCCTCACCTCAAGATGTAAGCTTTATGCCTTAAGGTTTAAACCTTTTAAAACAATGAGATGTAGTTAGAAGAGAATGGGATCGTACAACAGCATGTCAGTTGATGAGGGGTAATTTGGCCCTCTAATGATGTCGTGCCATGTGGCACTTCCAAACTGTTGCATAACACCTCAGCGCCATGTAGGTAATGATGCATCTTTACCAAGTCAGTCGGACATACCTTGGATGCACCTCACACGCTTTGGGATTGAGCGCCCAGCATCACCTCGACTAGGGCCGAGGAGGGAATGGCCTTATGTGTTGTACGCACCTCGATGGAGCAGACTAGTGACCTTAGCGGGAGCAGACTGGGGACCTCGGCAAGAGGGTTGACCTCCTACCGAGTACTTATCAACCTAGCCGAGGTCAATGTGGCGACCTACTTGACATGGCAACCGACTTCTTCTACATATGACATATCGTCTTCGACTCTTCCAGGATCACATTGCCTCCGATAGAGCTTACTTTTGCACCGCCCGCTTCGGAGATAATTGGATAAGCCTCATCATTATCCACGAAAACCACCTCCGAGGCTAATAGGCCGATAAGTCATGTCCTTTTGGAGATCTCGGTGTGCTACGTGAGACCCACGCCTACCCATGCCTAAAGGCAGCTCCTTCAACCACATAAGGTACGCGCGATTTTGCACTCAGACTCTCTAGCTTTCTTCACACTCCTCGCAAACTTAAGCATTGAAGTGCCCACCCTGGGTACTCTGACTGTTCTCTTGGAGCTTGGCTTGTCGACCTCACCAGCCCGACGCCTGAGCTGTCCTCCAGCAGGAAGCTACTAGATCACGCACCATCATCAATGATTCAAGGAGAGGGAGAGAGGGATAGGAGAGAAGAGGAGAGATAGAGAGGGAATATGGGTCTCAAAGATATATTGTTAATTGAGTCACTATATAATATGAGGTTCCTCCTATTTATGGTGATTTTAGTTTTTTGAATTCTAGAATCTTCTTATGTTTTGATTTGGTCTATATTACCCTTTAATATTATTCCAAAATGATTTAAAATTTAAATTGATGCAAACAGCTTTGAATGAGCGAATATTTGGTCTGAATCGATTTAATCTTAGGTTTGTGTCAAGTCAACCAGGTTGATGTACTTATATAAATCTACTATGTTATAGAAAGAAAATAATATGTCTAATGATTGGAGAAATAACAATGTGGTGGCTATATTTAGGCTCAGTTTGGAAGGAATACAAATACAAATATGTACATTACAAATACATACAAAATAATACAAAATACATGGTTTTGCACTCTACCTATTTGTATATGCACTCCTTCCAAATAGAGCCTTAAAAACAAAGGTGATATACAAAATTAGAATAACTTTAGGGGGATTAAACTCATAAGCCATAATATGAAACTTTGGGAGTGACTAATTGAACAAAGATTACGACTTAAAACAAGTGTATTAAATAACCAATTTGGCTTTATGACGAGGAGATTAGCTATAAAAACTATTATTTTTTTAAGATAATTGATAAAAAATGTTAATAGATAAGAAGACAAATTTTCATATACTGTTCATTGATTTAGAAAAGACATGTGGTAGAGTTCCTAGAGATAATATGATGAATCTTGGAAAAGGAAGTTTTATTTCAAAGTAGGTATATAAACTTAATTAAGGATATGTATGAAGGGGTAGCAATAGGGGCGGAGCCAGGAAATTTTTATAAGGGGGACCACAACCTAAATGAAGTATAGATAGACCCATAGGGGGGGGGGCAACCATTGAGGTGGACAATGGGGGGAGGGGAAAATTTACATAAAAAACTGTATTACTATGAAGATTTTTTGAACCATAGGGGGGGCCATGGCTCCCCTGGGTCCCCCTGGCTCCGTCCCTGGGTAGCAACTAATGTTAAAACACTAATGTGAGAGACTTCAAATTTTACAGTTACGATGAGTCTTCACCAAGGTTCAACAATTAGCCCTTACCTATTTGCATTGATCATAGATAAATTAACTAAACATACTTAGGAGGGAGTTCTATAGTGCATGTTATTTGTGGACGACATTGTTTTAATTGATGAAACTAATAAATGATTAAATGCAAATTTGAGCTTATGGATAATGCCTTAGAATCATAGGTTTAAAAATAAATATGATTAAAATAGAGTATATGATGTAAATAATAAATTAAGTAATAATATATAGGAGTGTAAATGAAGATACACTTGGGATTGGAGACCAAAAGAGAACTTAATGTAACCATTTATGGCACTTTGGTTCAATAATTCATAACAAGGGAGAGACTGGAGAGGATGTCACCAAAAGAACTAGAGTAGGATGGGCAAAATGGAGAGGTAAATTTAGACTATTATGTGACAGGCAAATACCACCTAGACCAAAAGGAAAATTCTACAAAACAATTGTAAGGCTAGCTATATTATTTGGAGCAAAGTGTTGGGTAGTCAAGAAACAACATATATAGAAAATAAGTGTGGTAGAAACGAAAATGCTAAGATGGATTAATGGAAAAAATAGAAATGATAGGATTAGAAATGAAATCATCCATAGGAACGTAAGAGTAAAACCAATAGGTGATAAAATGAGAAAAAGTAGACTAAGATGGTTAGGTCACATTCATAAAACATCACCAATAGCTCCAATTATAAGAAGTGATTTGTTACAAGTTGAAGGGGCTAGAAGAATTAGGGGTAGACCAAAAAGGACATGGGTAGATGTAGTAAGAAATGATGTAGGCACTAATAATTTAACAATGGATATGATTTTAAATAAAATGGATCGGTGAAAGAGGACTCATGTAGTTGGGATAAGGCATGGATAATGATGATGATTTGGTATTTTTAACTTATTATGGTAGAAAGGTGTTTACTTCTACATTTTTGAGTTTGTCATTAATGTTAGTATATTTTTCCAGAAAGGTTATTAATATTGGTATTCGGGGCCTGTGATATATGTAATTTGTGCATGCTGCTTATTTAAGTTCAACTATGCCTTTATTTTGCTATACCATGTTTTTAACATCATTTATTTGTATGGGTTTTATTTGAAATAGACTTAGAAATGGATAATCAATGGTTGGGCCTGGATTTATTTAGCTCAAAATTCTTTGGTGAAGAAATCCTTAATTTTGTCATAATACTTAATTATTAGGGTCAATTGATATCTAACAAATCTCAATATAATACCAATTGTTATTTCACTAATAACTAGTATTTTATTTAACTTCCCAAAGAGGAGGTTGTGTAAGGTTGTCTAGTTAAACCCAAATATCAAATTAACTATCAGTACTAAGTATCATATATCGAAGATAAGAGTGCACTTTGGAAACATAAGGATATAGGCGAAAGTTATGCTAGGAGAATGCATATAAATCAGATAAATTAATAATACTAAATGTAAAGTTAATTTATTTAAGAACAAGGTAGAAATGCACATTTAATAGGTTAAATGAAGATTAACATTATAATAACCAATGCTATAACTCCATTTAAGTTTTTATAATTATAAAATTCAATTTTAATATTTTTAGGAAAATTTATTTAGTATTTTTATATAAAGAATAGTTATATTTTTATATAATAAATATGGTTTCTTTTTGAACATATAACTTTTTTATTTTACATATAATTGTAAAATAAAATTATAAATCATTTAAGATAGATAAAATCAATTATTTTTATAATTTTAGTTTTTATTAAAATTTTCTGGAAAAATCAAATCTTAAATTATTTATTTTAGTTTTATAATTATAATTCCATTTTTATTAAAATTCAAAAACAGTCCAAAAGTGATTAATATGTAGAGTAGTAAAACCAGACAGGCAGACACCCATGCGCTTACTTCCGTACGTATTGGTGCGTATCCAACAATATCCATCGATATGGCAGCTATTGGCGAGGTGCCAATCAACTGATTGGTAAGGACCGACTGGACCGTAAGGTCGTCGTAGGCTCGTAGCGGAGACTCAGGATCGGATTCCGCCAGCATGGTGGTTATGGGTCGTGGAATGGGATAGCCCCGTTGTATAGCGCTTCAAAAAAATCAAGATACATACGAAGGCGTGTCATACCGATATACATCATTCTATACAAATCCGGTCGTGATGTATCCGATATTCGTGATCCTAAAAACCGATACATACCGTATCCATATCTTAGCCGTTGGTTTTGTTTGCATTGGGCCTGTTCGTATTTTTTCGAATGAGGACAATGACGATTCAGCCCAGAGTATATAGAGTGACGGTTTTTGACATTTTGAATGTATATAGATGTACAATGAAATTCATAAATCTTCGTTGGGCCTGTTCATACTTTTCCGAATTTGTTATTAAAATTGTAACGATTAGATGAGATGAGATTAGATCTGTTGTTACGTTGTGTGTGAATTAGCTTAAGCTTCTATTGAAAAAAAAAAAAAAAAAATTAGCTTAAGGCCTTAAGCCAGTGCAGCGCAACTCGACTCGCGCATCCGACCATGTCGTCTCCATCGGATGATTGTCGCACCAGAAAGCGGAGTGGAGTGCGTGTTTGAAGGGGACGGACACAACACTCCCAGCCCTTCATAAAATCATGCAACTACTGCTTTCAAGAGCCGCTTTTGTCTTGTATTCTCGGCCGTCTATGGCGCATTTGAGCACCACCACCACCAGCACTAGGCAGAGGATGAGGTTGAGGGGTGTGGTGTTCGACATGGACGGAACCCTAACGGTTCCCGTCATAGATTTCCATGCTATGTATAAGGCCGTACTCGGCGAGGAAGAGTACGCCTCTGTCAGATCCAAAAACCCTTCCGGCATCGATATATTACACCACATTGAAACTTGGAGTCCCCAGAAGCAGCAAAAGGCTTACGAGATCATTGCCGAGTTCGAGCGGCAAGGACTCGATCGCCTTCAGATCATGCCCGGTTAGTCCATAAGTTTTCTCATTTCTTGTGTTTTTCTTTTAATTTTAGTGAAGGGAATTGAACTGTATAGCTGTTTGCTGACTTGGTAATCAGTTGGTTTTGGTATTATTTTTTTGTCATTTTCATTCTATTTTTCGAGAATTTTTAACGAGTTTGAATCTTTTGAGACTTGTCCTAAAGTGGGTTTTGATTTTTTTATTCAGTTGTGTTTTTCTTTTCTTTCCTCTTTTTGAGGCAATTATTTCTTTTTTAAGTGGATAAGTGGTAATGAAGCGAAAAAAAGTGGAAAAGTGGTAAGACCGGGAGGCATAGGATTAAGAAACGAGTGTATGGAACTCGGGGGATGATTGGCCATGAAACAAAACCAAATTAATACACCAGAGGAGCCATTTAGTGGAAGTTGAAGGCCATAAAAGGACATTTAGAAGATCACAGGATTCTGGGAGGGCAGATCTAGGTTCAGGCTGTCAGAAAAGAATTAATATTTTCTTTATACAAGATTAACTATACAGATTCTCTTTCTGCATTTTTGCATTTTGTTCCATCAAGGGCCTTAGATTCTTCTGAATAAGCTGTTCATTCTTTTACATTGGAGTGAGTTTGGTAACTACTCTGAGGTTTAATGTAATGGGATCAAAAGTCATGATTTATTTATACTCTAAAAATGTAGACATAGTTTGCTATACTGAGAACTTCCTTAATGCGTTATGCAAGAGGTTAAAGGATTAATTCCCAAGATGTGCTCCATCTGTCAATCCAATAGCTCATTACAGCCATCTTCTTCATGTAAGTTTGCAATTTGAATCTCCAAATAAGGGGCTGGACAAAGAAATCCTCAAATGCTGAGGATGTAATATTTCATTATATTTTATGGTATAGAAATATTTTTAATATCTGAAAAGTATATCCTTCTGTTTTTACATGTGACCAGAGGAAATCTAGAGAAGAGAAATTGTATCAACTCTAGAGGAAGCTCCGGACATTATATATAAATCATAGGACATGGAATAGATTGCAAAATGGAGATTGGGCAAAGTGATTAAAGGAAGGAGATTGGAATACAAGATTCTATCATAGAATGGCTAATGAGAGAAAAAAGTTGTATCATCTCCAAACTTCATGTTAATGACAAGTTGAGCTTCAGTTCCCTTGATTCCTCTAGAGAGGAAATTGGAAAGAAATCCATTGTTGGAAAGAATTGCACAGGGAGGCATGCCTAGCACTAAAGGTGAGCGTTTGTGACAAGCCTAAAAAAACGAAATCGAGAATGCCATTTTTGAGATTATATATTAGAAAGCTCTTGGTCTTGATGGTTCCAAACCAGTGATATAAAAGGCACGCCTCATGCACTATGTCAGTACAACAGTAATTGCACTGTGGAACTGGTTTCAATCTCTGTTAGTAATGGTTTCATATTAATAGTGAGCCAATGAGAGACCTCCTTTGACACCACATCGAAAGGCGAGGCGGCACAACTCTGAAATTCAAAGCTTCCTGCTCAGGAGTCCTTTGGAGGTTCTAGAAACCCGAGGCTCAACTAGTAGAGCTGACCACACCAAAGCACTGATGCTGGCTTGCAAAATTGAGGACAACCTGATGTTACTTCCTTCAGTTGAGCTGACCTGATCCTAGGTGACTTGATGTCAGTCACCTCATCCTTGGAGGGGGGGGGGGAGTGATACAGCCAAATATTGTGGGCCAAACAAGAGTTGCCATGTGGCCCATGTTTGAGGGCAAAATAGAAATTTCACTGAGGAGATGACTTTCATCAAGGACCTCAGATTCTTTTGAAAAGGCTATTAATTCTTTTATATTGGAGTGCGTTTGGTTACTCTGTGGTTTAATGTAATGGGTTCTGGGGTCAAAAGTCATGATCTGTTTATATTCTAGAAATGTATACATGGTTTGCTGCATTAAGAACATCCTTGATGCGTTTATGCAGGGTTAAAGTTCAGCACAAGATTTTTTTTTCTTTAAAGGATAAGCACAAGAAGTTAAAGGATTAATTCCTAATATGTGCTCCATTTGTAAAGCCAATAGCTAATTGCAATCATCATCTTGATGCAAGCTTGCAATCTAAATCTTCAAATAAGGGGCTGGACAAAGAGGTTCTCAATGCTAAGCCAATAGCTAATTGCAATCATCTCATTATATTTTATATCTATAAAAAAAAGTCATCTCATTATACTTTATGGTATAAAAATATTTTTAATATCTGAAAAATATATCCTTCTGTTTTTTTACATCTGATTGGTTGAAATCTAGAGAAGAGAAATTGTATTACTAACTCAAGGAGGGGCAAAGCCAGGAATTTTTTATGAGGGGGGGGGGTGCAAAACTTAAAGTGGATTGGGGGGGGGATAATTATGGACGGGCCATTCGGGGGGGGACCACTTGGGTGGTGGGTCGGGGGAGGGGGAAAACATACATGGAAGAGTGTAATGTAAGTGTGGATTTTTGGGCCATAGGAGGGGGCCATGTCTCTCCTGGGTTTCCTTGGTTCTGTCCTTGAACTCAAGTGGAGGCTCAGGACATTATAGCTAATCTTAGGACATGAATAGAGTGGAGATTGGGCAAAGTGATTGAAGGAAGGATTGAGAGGCTGGTCATTGAAGGTGATTCAAAAATGGTTGTGGGTTGGATGAAAAGGGGGAAGGGGTTACTTGGCAATTAAGGAATGAATTCAGGCACTTTAAATGGCTATCTAAAGACATGATACTCCAAATAAATTGGGTTAGGAGATCTGCAAACAGTATGGCTGCGGTTTAGCTAAACAAGAGATTCATAGACAATCCATGTTTTGGGCTTATTTGTAATAATTGGGATGGTTTCATTCCTTTGGGCTTGTTGTTTCTTATCACAACTTTTTGTTGCATCTCTCTTTTCTAATTTAATGAATTAATATTTGTGTTACTGATTAAAAAAAGGAGATGAAAATACTAGATTCTATTATAGAATAGCTAATCAGAGAAAAAGTTGTATCATCTCCAAACTTCATGTTAATGACAAGTTGAGCTTCAATTCCCTTAACTCCTCTAGAGAGGAAATTGGAAAGCAATTCATTGTTGGAAAGAATTGAACAGGGAGGCACATTGCAAAGTTCTTCTATGGGGACAAAATTAGGGTTTCAAAGGAGAAAAGTGACACTGAAGACCTATTGGACTACATGTTGGCTGGGGAAAGACAGACTTTTGAAAGGAAGCCTCAAGCAGAGGATAGATGTGTAAATCAGGCCATGCCACCTGCAACCCAACACGATTTTGGATTGGCCCGACACGACGGCACACAGGCCATGCTGGGCTAGGGGTTTTAGGTCTGTGGGTTGGCACGCGGCACAGCATGGCCCGCGGGCCTACAACGGGCCAAGCGCAGCCTATTCGAAAAAACTAGCCGTTGGGGCCCTTAGGGGACCCTGCAAATGGCTCGTTTTAGCTTTTTTAGGGTTTTTTTCCAGAAATACCCCCTTAATCAATAGCTATAAGCCTAAATAGCAATGTAGGGGGGTATTTGTATATTTTGGATTTGAGGGGAAGAAAAAGACAATAATGCCCCTCTAGCTTTATGCCTATATCCTATATAACTAGTTTTTTGGGACTTTGAGGGCATTTGGTTAAAGTGATAAATGACTTTACAATGACCAAAATACCACTCCCAACAACTAAAAACAACTAGTTTTTAGGGTATTGTGGGCAATTGAATTATTTTCAATTCCTATAAATAACCCTATCCTCCACACGACACCAATCCACCATTCTCATCACACCAATTCATCAATTCTCTTCTCAATTCTTGTACTCTCTCAATCTCTCATCTCAATTCTCATACAATCTCATACTGTCATATTGTCATACACTTAGGCAGTTAGGCACTTAGCAATTTAGCCATTTAGGAGGATTTGAGAGGCTTCAACCGTTGAAATCAAGTTGAGATTTTGAATCGGTAATCCAACCATCCAAATAAGTGCAATTAAATTAATTTTTTATGTTTTTAGAATTAAAAAAAATGGCTGGCTCCTCCTCCCGAAACCAACTCTCCAATAGTAAGTTCACTAGCCCGATTTGGAAAATATTTAAAACAAAGGAGGTTGAGGGGAAGGGAAAAAGAGCCGTTTTCGAAAAATGATTGACTTTAGCTTCAGTAGCAAGGGTGTTACTGGCCACTTGGCCTAACATTTGCTCTTCCATGATAAACAAGAAAAAGACATCTTTCTTATTGAGTAAATTTTCTTCTTTTATTTATCTTAAAAAAAATTGAATAGGGTTAGCATGCCTAGCACTAAAGTTGAATGTTAGTGAGATGCTTAAAAAAAGGAAATTGAGGGTGCCATTTTTGAGATTAGTTATTAGAAAACTCTTGGTCTTGACGGTTCCTATATGTCTTTCATTTAGGAAAATTCGGGCATCTTTCTCTTGTTCAACAAAGTAATTGATAGATTCATTAATTAGGCAAAAGGATGTACATGGTGTAAAAAACATTGCCAGTTAGGGGCAGGTGTTTTAACTGTCCTGATCAAGGTAAGGGTGGCTCATTTGGTGCTAGCATGTGAAGAGTTCAAAGATATTAAAGTTTCTTATAGAAAAAGAACGATGTTGTCCAGATTCTGGTATTAGATTAGTCTTCAAGAAAACAATTAAAAGGTGATGGATGAAGATTTGGGTGGTCTTGTTTTGTTTTTCTTTTTTATTTGTTTTAAAAAAAGAGAATGACAAATATGTGGCGATTCACAGCCAGAAATACAAATTGTGATTGTCTTGATGGTGGGTTGAGAGCATGGTTTGCAATTTCAATATCGATGGACATTTTGCCATGTAGAGATGGTGTAATTTTGGGGATATTTTGTTAATTTCTCTAAGATATTTGGAAAGTATAAGAAGTCAAGGTATTTTTTTAAAAGCATGGAATTTATTAATAAACCTTAAACATTAGAAGAAGTATAATTACACATTGAAGGCTTAAAAACCATAGCAAATAAGCATATGAATCAAATGGAGAATATTAAGAGACTTGAATAGGTATTTTTCTTTTTGTCTCCCATTTTATTTATCTTCTCTTTATTACATATGCCATTTACTTTCCATTTTGACTTCTGTCGTTTTTTTATCAATAACTTTTGTCTTTTTTGTCACCACACAGTTTGGTTAGATTGGGAATCCTCTGTTGTAGTGGTTTTTGTTCTTTTTCTTTTGAACTATACTGACTTTAAGGCTATGTTTGGTTTGAAGGAAAAGGTATGGAAAGGAAGGGAAAGGTAGGGAAAGGAAGGAAAAAGGTATAGGTTTCCCTACCTTTCCCTTCAAACCAAACACAGCCTTAGTTAATCTTATCAAAATAGCAAACCAATCATTCTATCACTAAATCCCCATTTGTTCTTCCTCTTTTTTTTTTGATCAGTAAACATGTATTTTATTAAAATTCAGATTGTAAACAGTTTATACAACTTGGTGATGGGACTATTGGTCCCCCTTAATCACTCTATTCTATCCCTCATTACAGTGCAGCCCAAAATAATTGTTGTCTCAATGCCCCCTGTTTTTCTAAACCGTTAGCTAGCCCATTTGCACTTCTTTGGACCCATTTAAATTCAGCCTCAACCTCCTTTGCAATCTTCTCCACTTCCCTAATCACATGTTTAAACATCCATGGGGTATGGCTGCTGTTTACTGCCCATGAAATTACTACTTTTGAATCCCCTTCCACTTCAACATGTCTGTATCCTAACTGTTTGGCTAGCTTTAACCCTTGTAGTAATGTCAATAGTTCAGCCTTCAGTGAGCTTCCAGTGCCAATCGGTCCTGAGAACATACCCAATGTCCTCCTTTCAGAATTTCTTAATACTCCTATTCCTGAGATGCCCGGATTTCTAAGGGAGCTCCTGTCAAAATTCAGTTTTACTTTATTGCCTTCTAGTGGTTTCCACTCCAGCCTTACTTTATCTCTTACTCTTGAAGAGTGTGCTACTTTGGACCCTGTTTTTAGAATGTGTGTGACTAAGAAGATTGAAAGCTATCCAAGGGTTTTACCCTATGGGCTACTTTCACCTTGATACTATCAATCACTTCCTCTATTGTTCTACTTTTTTCCAAGAAAATTCTATTGTTCCTCTCTTCCCATATTACCCAGCAAATTGCTGCCTTTGTTGCTTTCCACATTACCATCCTTCTTTTCTTTTGCTGTCTCAAGAATTCATGGTTGAAGAGTCTTGCCACATCTTGAGGGGGAACCCACTTGCAGCCAAAGAAAGTACAAAAGAATTCCCAAATTTGAGTCACAAAAGAATAGGATATCATTAAATGAGAAAGGGTCTCACCACTTTCCTTACACAACGAGCACACATGAGGAGAAAGGCAAATGTATGGCCTTCTTTTCTGCAGCATATCGCAAGTGTTTACCTTACCAAGGAATATTTCCAAGCAGAAGGCTTGGATCTTCGGGGGAATAGGCTTGCACCGAATTTCTTTCACAGGGAAATCCCCACCTAGGAGGTTGGGGGAAGCATGTACTTTGAAGAAAGAGGAGCAAGAAAAAAGGCCGTTAGGAGAGCCTACCCAAATTCCCATTTGTACTTCCTCTTATTGTATTTTCTTTTTTCGTGAAGATTGATCATGTTTATAACAAGTGATTTGTTTAGTTTCTATCTTAATACAGTTTCAATGCTAAGATGTCTGCTCAAGCCTCCTATAGATATATGAAAAATATAATTTTGTGATTGTGATGTATTTGGGATGTAATGTTTTTTCTTTAAGATTATAATTAAGTTGTAAGTGTGGGGAATTTAGTCTCCAATTCTTCACTTACCAGAATTAAGCAAATTTGTTATCATTCTGATCATATTCTAGTTGCTCTAGTTTCAATTTTCATAGAAATCCTATTATGTTGCAGGTGCAGCAGAAATTTGTAGTTTTCTTGATTCAAAGCAAATAAGGTAAATATTGTTTGTTCTTGGTTCTTATGTTTCATTTTTGTCAATTGTCCTAATAATTCCTAACATTACCAAAACAAATAAACTATTTAGAATTCATAAACCGATCATGAACAATCTGTAGTAATAGAGCAAAGATTGAAGTTGGAGTGCAAACAAGTTTCAATGATTCTCTACTGAGAGGGTGATTTACAATTGCTAGTTTTGCTCTCTGACAATAAAATAATAGAAGATTGTTTGAGGTAGTGAATGAGGTAGGTAAACTTACCAAAAGATTAGCCTTGTGAGAGGCAAGGCAAGGTCAAGGTGCACACCTTTTTGAAGCAAGGTGCAATTTTTTTAAAAAATTAAAGTATGCAAAAAATACTCTTTTTTTTTGGAGAAAAAGGTATGGTATTGTATTGAACTCCACCTTTCATGATAAACTCAATTGAAAAAAAATGCAAAAGGAGTTCTTATGGGGAGTTAAAGGGATTGAAAAGAAATTTCACTTAGTTAAGTGAGATAAGGGTTGCACGGTAAAGAAAGATGGGGGTTTGGAATAAGAAGATTGAAGATTTTCAATAAAGCTCTTCTAGGGAAATGGTTGTGGAGATTTGGTTTGGAGAGGGAGGCTCTTTGGAGGAGGGTGGCGGCTTGTAAATATGGGGTGATTGGATTTCGGTGGGATTCCAAAGAAGTGAAGACATCCTATAGAGTAAGTGTGTGGAAAGGGATTATGTGTTTCTAGTTGAGAAACAATCAGCTTTTCTCAACTTTGTGTCCTTCAAGGTTGGTGATGGTTCAACAATCAAATTCTTGGAAGATGACTAGCTGGGTATTGGAAAGTTGTGTGATCTTTGTCCTCTACCACATAGGTTAGGTATGGAAAATGGCTTTGTTGTAGAGAATTTTGAAATCAATCAAGGTGGAGCTGGATGGTTCCCTAAATTCAAGAGATCTCTTTGACTGGGAAATTCAAGAGTGTGTATCTACTTGCAAAACTTCTATCAGTTGAAACTCGTAGGAAGGAAGGATTTAAGATGGTCGAAAGAATCTAGAAATGGTTTATGTTAACA